AGTCTAAACTTAGCAGTACCTAAGTCGAAATTCTAGGGGAGGGTAAAAAAAAAACCAGCTTTCCCTCTCCACTTTGAAAGTGAATAGTTGCTCGGAAGAAAACCCCGGGTTGGGCAGGCACCACAGCACGTAATGCCTTATCGTCTCCCTTCTACATTCTTCTTTGGAGGTAGAACTCAATTTTTACCTAGTCCTGATATCTTTATTAGTGACCGCATTTATTTGAACTTTGCGCAATCGTTCCCCCTTAATACTTCGACTCACTACACAAAATCAGCGGACTGGAATTTACCAACCTTTCACCTCCTAAATGCTTAACCTCTGGAGGCTTCTCAGGGAGTGGTAAGGATCTCTTTGCCTTTTTATGATTCAGCAGGTGGGCGATGTAATTCGCTAGAATGCTACCAGCTTCCCTCCCCATGCTTCTTCCCAGCAGAGGAGGTAATACTCCGTACGGATTTTGATTATCAGTGAGTCCTAGCGAGTCAAAATCAACTGCAAATCAATAAAATTTAAGCACAATTAAAGGTAAATATGTGTAATGGGAATCTGTTAAGGACAAGTATCATAACATCTGCCGTTTTTTTTTTTTTTTTTTTTTATCTTTCTATCCCTAGCTTTAAAAACCGTCGTTACTTACTCGAATTTCCAACCGGGGTCCTTTCTGGCCCATACCCCTGCTAAAAATAACGAGTAGTCTATTCAGATTTCGCCAACTCACATGAGTAAAACTACCTACTTATATGAGTAGAAATCCACTCATATGAGAAGAAATTCTACTCATGAGTAGAAATGTTCAACTCATATGAATTCAATTTTTTCTCATTTTTCAAAAGTGTGTTTCTGCATGACCAGGAGACACCGAGTTAGTGTGTAAATTAGAAAAATAAAAACATCTTGTTCTTATAATTTTTTTGATGCGGTGACTAGTTCCTGAGATATCAGACACGGTAGATTCAACGCTGAACTCATGCGAGTTGAGATCTAGTCATATAAGTTGGAATCTCTAGTAATAGAAGTTGGCGAATACTGGATAGAGAAATTCTGCTCATATGAGTTACATTCCATTCATATAAGTTGAAATTCAATTCACATGGGTTGAAATTCTATTCACATGACTTTGATTTTCTACACTCATTTGTGCTCCCCATTTTTAGCAGGGACTCCTTTAAAATTCACACCGTTACACTAGATAGATAGTTCTTCATTTCTTTACGGCTCTCCACCACAAGGGTACACTTCTTTCACCAAAGGGAAGTGCTTAGCTTAATAGCTCATCACTTTACAAAAGAATTTATTGGGGTGATGCGTGAGAACAAAGCGACCGACAATGGAGGCATAGGGAAAATCGATCGATTTTTGTGGTTGAAACGGGTGGTTCTTATGGACGGGGGGGGGGGGGGTAGTGGGGAGTGGACTAATTAATGAAGGGCCTTTCTTTGGTTGCCGGGAATTTCCTCCTTGGCCCCTTGCAACCAATCGCCTCTACCAGTAAGATCGCTCCATTTTCCCTTTATCTGCTTTGTCTATAGATTTGTCTATTAATTTTAAAAATCAATAGAACGGAGAAGTGCCGAGCACAATGGCGAGATAAAGCAAAGGAGGGGTGGCGATTTGGGCGATTTGACTCAAAAATACAGGGTGATCCAGACCACCCGTCCACTATCCAAATTACTGAAGAACCCCATCTCCCCATAAGAAGCCGTGTCTTTTTGGAGAAAACTAGTCGTTCTGGGCGCGCATCGCGCGCCCGGCACGTCTAGCCGGGGGGCTGCACCCCCTGGACCCCCAGTCACTCGCTACGTGAGTGACATTCGGCTCGCGTCTCCAGCGAATTTTGTTGTAGTTGCAAATGTTTTATCACTATATTTTGAAGATTTCATAGAAAACATTATTTTTTCACTCCGCAATTAGCTTGTAGAATAATAAAGACGGAGCAAGAGATAGACTGTATCTTGAAGTAGACGGTGTCCACTTAGTAGAAACAGCCAACACCCCAAGAAGGTAAGGAACCATCGTTAGCCGCTTTTTTTTACTTTTCTGAAAAAATTTACTAAAATTTTAGTTGCTCCCATAAATGATACACAGAGAAAACGCAGCTCAGCTGCGTGCGAGCATGAGCAAGATGAAATAAAAATACCGGGGAGGTTTAGAAAAAAAAACAGCAGAGAACCAAGGAAATTACAGTAAAACAGAGGAAAAAATACAGTCGAATAAATAAAGAAAAGTACTATCGAATAAATTCTAATTATTCGGAAAGTAATTCGCTGGCGTAATATGCGTAGCTGCGTTGAAGCATGAGTGGGATTTATCATCAACTGACCGGCGGTGGCCGCTAGATACATGGGCGGGCGAGCGACAATACGTGAGCGGTGGCATGGTTCAATTGACAGAAGAGTGGGGAACGGTCAGACGTAGTAGTCCAGGCAATAGAGCTCAAAATAGGAGGTTTGAGGGAAAGTTTAGTCGAACTAGCAATTGTGGGCTAACTTCATGTTTTTTGGGTCGTAGAATCCGAATTTCGACTTGCCTGACAGATCCGACCCTCTCCCCGGCCGCCATTTTGAAAAAAACGACTAAAATTTACGGTTTTCCCCCATTTTTTGCTCATAACTTTTTTTCTGTTTAAAATTTTGAAAATGTTATGTTTGACCGAACTTGTCTCCCTTTTTCCGGTCTTGCACTACATTTTTCAACCCACAAGGACGATTGGAGTTTCGTCTCCATATCGTAGGCGTACACTCAAGTATTGTCACCGAAAATTATCCTATCCAAAAATGTAGGATCATTGTTAGAACGTTCAAGCAGCTAAAGGGAAATTGACATTTGGTTGGATTTTCGTTCAACGGGCAACAATCAAGGGGCAAGTGTACTTGAAACTCGATGCGTGTCTACATATTCTATCAAAATTGTATGTACAGAGCCTTCAGAAATATTACTCTGTTCAACAAGCTTGAAACGACCATTTTCGAGCACTTTTGCCCGCACCTCTTCCACGTGACAATGTCAGTTGCCGTTGAGGGTCGATTCCCATGCTCCTCATCTTTGACGAACTCCTGACCAGTTTTGAATCGTTCAACCCATTCAAAACAGTGGGAACATCTCATACAATGATCATGGTAAACTTTACTTAGCATATACCAAAAGTTTCGGTACAAGGTATACCGAGTTTAAAACAAAATTTAATGTTGAATCTTTGCTCTATCAGTGATCGCATGATGAAAATCGCAAAACGCACCTGACTTACTCGTATTCATGATGACACAGAATAAACACTGATCAAAATAAACAAAATCTGTGAACGTAGCGTTCTTAAAGATATTTCCAGCTATCAGAAAAGCTCAAGAAAACCTAATTCGGACGCATTGTGGGCTAGTTATGACCAAAATCCGGTTTCTAATCTAACAGACCTCGTATATCTTTTAAACAGAAAACTAAGTACTCGACGGCAATTCTTTGAAACTGCCGAGATTTTTCTTCTCTGTGCGAGAAAAATTCTGCAAAAACTTCAAGGAATAATATCAATTTGTTCTCCTTTAAAAAAAATACCTACCGTAGCAACGGAGATTTTCGGACACCGTAAACAAGTTATGTGATTGCCGACTTAGGTACCTACAACCGTCGATATTTTTTTTTCTGTGCTTAGAGCAAACTGCCATGTCTAATTCAATTTTCAATTTTTGCGGGATTGATGATAAGTGTTCACACGTTATAGACGTTACTTACTTGTAAATGGTAAACTAATGGACATATTTGATAAAAATCCCTCGGGTGGGTATCTAACAAAGGGTAAAGATAAGGAGGGGGTAATGGTAAGGTGGGTGCCGGGAGGCAGGGCGAGGCGTCCATCGTTAGTGATCCATAGAAGCCTCTTCTGTCGTGAGTGCGAGCTTGATTGCGAATAAGAGTGCATTTGGGAATGAGACTGCGCTTGAGATGCTTCTCTTGGGTCGGTTCTCGTCGTGCGAATGTCTAAAGTGGCCATCAGTGCTGCTAGCCACATCACGTGGCTCCAGGTATCCATCCTTCTACAGCCTGCAACACGAAAGACTCCGTTTCAATGGTGTTGTCGGGAATTTTGCCTAGAAATAGCAGCATTTTTTTAAGGCAAGTTATAGATTGAGTACATTACAAATTGAATGTATATCGAATGCCGTTTAGCATTAATAGGATGAAACGTCGGTTGTTTGAATCATTTCCCGGCTGAGTTGAGGTGTAAAACTTCATGGGTACATGCCCTCCTCCTACTTATACAATTTTTTGCACAAAAAAAACTCTGACTGTATAAAAAAAGCACATATGCCATTTTCCCAGATGCCCCTTTACTTATAAATATACTAGCAAAATGCCCGTGACTGGAGTCACGGGTCTAGAGGCCGCTAAAATATCTATAACCCCGAAAAATGGTGGTAGGGTAGCAAAACATGCCATAAAAAAAAAAAAAAATGATAAAATCGATAGAAAAATGAGTTGAAGGGAGGGGGTGATGGAGGCAGAATAATGAGCTGGGGGGGGGGGGGGGG